TGATTAGTGGTCTGTCGTAGGCATAATGACCGGGTTACATCACTGTCTTCTGCTAGTGAGTAAAGGCGCTGGTTCGGTGCTAAGTTCGTCTATAGATGGCCCATGAGCATTTGAATACTTCTGTTAGAGTTCATACACACCGTATAGACAGTGTATCTCTCCCCGTTATGGGCCCAGTGTACGATAGTGAGCTTCCTCAAAGGTAAACGTGGTAGTCCCTTTGAGAAGGATGAGGATCAGTAGCGAAACAAAAGATGAAAGAGTTGACATACAAGATGGCCGATAGTTGCTCGGGTTTGGGGGCGCCCTGCATGCGCTTGTCGACCTTGTTGACGATGGGATGGCATGGGAGGTGGTTAAGAAGTCTGTCCTGGTGTTGAAAGGGATAAGGAAAGGAGTTCATTCAATAAATGTGGCAACTGATGTCACCGCCACATCTTTCTTGTCTATCAGCCACATGTCGATCATCATACGGAATTAAGAAGCGCCAGTTCAGTATGTGGCAGTCGCCAAAGAGATATGTAGCAGGTGTGACTATTTAGTTGCCACAAAGGCACCAACTACTTCTTGGTCCGCTACCACAGCAGGATTCCTTCAGCGAAATCCAAGGGAAACATCGTAAACATCGTAAGATTCGACCAAAAAGTATGAATACTAGACGCCATTGTTAGTACTTACATGAATGGTATATATCGCAGAGGAATAATGCCACAGCCTTCTCCATTTGAGATTGGTGGAAAGTTGACCAACAAACCGGTGAGTAAGAAAATGGCCAAGAAATCTAGAACTCAATTCTCGAATCAGACTCAGGTCAACTCGTCATCTGGACCCATCCGTTACCATGGCAAGGACTAGAAGACCCCTTCAATTGCTCTTTCGACCTTTACCGAACTACATGCAGATCCATTTGACGACAATTATTATCACATGGATCGACCTCCAATCAATGACATGTGGATCAACAATGTCTTACCTCGACGAACAACCATGCCAAACCAACCAAACCCTAGGAAAACAAGTTGCCATTCTCATATCCCACACACTATGGATCAAATGAAACCTAGGCTATGTCAGGATTGGCTAGCTTTTCTATGATATATTCATCGAGAAAGTTCATCGATAAGATCCTTGAACCTCGTGTTAAATGAAACCGTAAAATGAAATCGACTAAAATTCGGTAGCACATTCGTATTCTCTTTAATTACAGGTGAGCACTGACCCATCGCTAAAAGATTATGGGTTGTTGTGCCATTTCCTTCTCAACTATTGCCCGCTCCGTCTCAAGAATTTTCACCTCGATACTAATTCTCTCTTCATAATTGGCCTTCCAAGAAGATCGGGCATCCTCAACGCTGGTCTGTAACACCTTCAGCTCACCCTCTATGGTGTGACGCAACTCCACCATCCAGGCGCCCGCTTCTTCTGCCCTAGCCAATTCGGGAGGTTTCACACTAGGAATGGTGTCATCAGGCATCGGACTTGCTGTTGCTTGTAATACCGATAAGTGAACGGTCTTCCAGTTTTCGAACATAGACCCGAGAGCTGTATGAGTACGTTGCACCCTTGCCATGGACCTTTGGTGATAATGTTCTCTTTAGCCTCTTCTAGCTTAGCCTTGATTGTTACTAAGCTCTCTTGAAGTGAGACAAGGCGGGCTCGATTGCTCTGAACCCTGGCTTCTGGTTTGGCACGTCTCATGCCAGATACTGAGAAGAATATTTAAATGGGCATACACTAATGCAACATATCGTTACTTACAATTGGTGGCTTGAGCAGGAGCAGACGCCTCTGTGTCGATAGCCCTGAAGAGACCAGATGGCCCACTGGTCGGTGCTTGGGTCAGCGATTGGGGTCTGGGTTCGTTGGGGACTTCTCCTGGTGTTGAAAGG